TGTTGCTGTTGCTGTTGCTGTTGCTGTTGTTGTTGTTGTTGTTGTGGTTGTTTCGTCGTCGTCGTCGCCGTCGTATCGTCGTCGTCGTCGCTGTCATCGTCGTCGTCGTCGTCGCCGTCGTGGTCGTCGTCGCAGTCGTCGTCGTCACTTCCGCGCGGCACGCTGCTGATGACCCCGCGCGCGCGTCAGCGCTCGTCGGCGCGAGCGGTCCACGCCGGCGGCCGTCGGCCGGTCCGCGTCACTAGCGTGTCGAATCGCGGCGCTGCGCCAGGCGCTGCGCCGGGGAGTGGGTGCTCTCGTTGGTGGCCCTCCTGGGCGGCGAGTGGCGGCGACGGCGACGCCGACGAAAAAGGGAGGGGGGAAAGGACATCGGCGGACAACCGTGCGAGACTCCTCCAATGGTGCCAATTTACAAGTCTTGGGACTTCAAAGTTGGGAATCAACATGGCGGTTGCGTCCTGAAAATCCCAAACCGTGCCAGAACACGATTCTTTGGACTTCGATACCGCGAATCAGCATGACCGCTGCGTCCTGACAGCCCCAAGCCGTGCCAAAACACTATTCCTAGAACGTCAACGTTACGGATTCACAAATTTGCTGCGAACTTTGAATACGAATGCGAGCGCTGTTAATGTTATACCATTTGGAGGAAGACCCGCCCTCCATCCTTGGACCTGATGCGGAATCAGACAACGAATGCGCGCGGCGCTAATGCGAGGGCGGCAGTTAGAAAGCGACCCGCGCTCCGTCTGTGGAACTTCTGCAAGCTGTTAAGACGAATACGCGCGGCGCTCAGGCGAGAGCCACATTTGGAAAACCGCCCGACATCCATCCTTGAAGTTGCTGCAAGTTTAAAACGAGCGTGCGCGGCGCTCAAGCGAGAAACACAATCTAAGAAGGACCCGCCCTCCATCCGTGAAATGGTGACAGATGACAAGCATCACGATTAGAAGTGAAGTCCCCGGCGCAGTTCATGCCTCGCCCTGCCGACGCGCATGGGGGCGCTACAAGGAGGAGCTTGTTATAAGAAGCGACAGTGGAAGAGAAGGAGGACAACGACGAAGACGAGGACTCGCGAGGGAAGGGTGACGGACAGCTGGGAAAGAAGACGACGACGACGACGACGACGACGACCACGACGACGACGACGACGACGACGACGACGACTTGCGGGAGGGGGGGGACTAGGGTGGAAGGGAGAGGAGGGGGAGGAGGAGGACAACGACGATAAAGTGGAGGGACGCGATGTCGATGGGGGAATGGAGAGGGAGGCGGGAGGATTACAAGGAGCGGGAGGAGGACAAGGACGACAAGCACGGAGGAGGAAAAGGGGAGAGAAAAACCTGGCGAAGGACCCAACGATTTTGGTCGACCCAGAAGGGAGTCCAGCTGAAAGGGGGAGGTGCAAGAGATTTGGGGCAATTGTGCTGCAAACGTATTGCGCCGGAAAATTGTATTGCATTGTATTGCAACGAATGTATTGCACGCGAAAATCCAGCAATACATCTGCGCCCTGGAATGTATTGCACGCCCCAAATGTATTGCAACCCCACAAATCTATTGCACCAAATCTATTGCACCACCCCCTTGTCGCTGGACCCCCTTTTGAGTCAACCCGAACGATACGCAGCTGTGAACACCGCGGTCACGCGAATACCGCAGTCGTGAATGCCGTCTCCGGTGGAGCTCTACATGGGTGCACCAACCGTGCGACGGGTGCGCCAAAATGGGATGGCGGCGGCTCGCGGGCGCTGCCACTGGGGCCTTCGGCAGAGCTTCCTATAAGGCCTTCGGCGCAGCTTCCTCTGTCCGTGATCTGTTCGATGGGGGGGGGCGCGAGGAAAGCTAGACCGTCCAAGACGGCCCTTCCCATATTTTTCTCCCTCTTTGCCCGCGCAGTCCAAAGGCCAAGGCTGCGGGCGCTGCGCAGCGCGGAGCCCCCGCGACGCGCGCCGGTCGCCCCGAAGGGGTCCCAGCGACACGCACGGGTCGTCCCCTGCGCGGAGCAAGGAGAGCTAGCTGGCTGGCCGATAGCGAGCAAGGCTCCGGCCGCTGGGAAGAGCGACGACGGGCGAGCGAGGCGCTGGGCAAAGCGCAGCACGGAAATCCGGCGACGCGCGCTGGTCGCCCCGAGAGGATTCCAGCGACGCGCGCGGGTCGCCCGCGGCGCGAGGCCAAACGGTTGGACAATCGAAAGAACGCGCTGCTCGGGCGGGCGAGTTCCCCAGGTCCGGCCTCGCGGATAAACTCGATGAAGCCTGACTCCAAGGCGAGGGCCGTCGCCTCCCTCCTGCACCGCTCCGTGCGCGCCTCAACCTGCTCCAGCTGCTTTCTCAAGCCTTCTGGAGGCCTGGGGCCTTCGGCCTAGCTCCCTACGGGGCCACGAACCATGTGAGGGGCCTGCCGAAATTGGCATGCGGCGGGCGGGGTGGGCGCATGTGAGCGCTGACACTGGGGCCTTCGGTGGAGCTCCCTATGGGGCCACGAACTGTGTGAGGGGTGTGCCGAAATGGGCACGCGGCGGGCGGGGAGGGCGCATGTGGACGTTGCCGCTGGGGCCTTCGGTGGAGCTCCCTATAAGGCCACGATCCGCGTGAGGTGTGTGCCGAAATGGACATGCGGTGGGCGGGGAGAGCGCATGTGACGCTGACGCTGGGGCCTTCGGTGGAGCTCCCTATTGGGCCACGAACCGTGTGAGGTATGTGCCGACCGGGCATGCAAGAGAGCAGAGGCAAGGGTGAGAGGAGGGAGAAGGGGGAGGAGGAGGAAGGAGGAAGGAACGCGGGACGCTGTCTCTTTAAGACGAACGCCCAGCACCACAGGACTGTTGGGAAAAAGGAAGATGAGGGGGAGAAGGATAAAGAAGCAGGAACATGCGGTGGGCGGGGAAGGCGCATGTGAACGCTGCCACTTGGACCTTCGGAGGATCTCCGTATGGGGCCACGAACCGTGTGAGGAGTGTGCCGAAATGGACGCTGCCACTGGGGCCTTCGGTAGGGCTCCCTAGGGGGCGAACCGTGAGAGAGGTGTGCAGAAATGGGCACGCGGTGGGCGGGGCGGGCGCATGTGGACGTTGCCGCTGGGGCCTGCGGTGCAGCTCCCTCCGGGGCCACGAACCTTGTGAGGGGTGTGCCGAAATGGACGCTGACACTGGGGCCTTCGGTGGGGCTCCCTATGGGGCCACGAACTGTGTGAGGGATCTGCCGACATGGGCACGCGGTGGGCGGGGAGGGCGCATGTGGACGCTGCCACTGGGGCCTTCGGTGGAGCTCCCTATAAGGCCACGATCCGCGTGAGGGGTGTGCCGAAATGGACATGCGGTGGGCGGGGAGAGCGCATGTGGACGCTGACGCTGGGGCCTTCGGTGGAGCTCCCTATTGGGCCACGAATCGTGTGAGGTATGTGCCGACCGGGCATGCAAGAGAGCAGAGGCAAGGGTGAGAGGAGGGAGGAGGGGGAGGAGGAGGAATGAGGAAGGAACGCGGGACGCTCTCTCTTTAAGAAGAACACCCAGCACCACAGGATGGTTGGGAAAAAGGAAGATGAGGGGGAGAAGGATAAAGAAGAAGCAGGAACAGAACAGAAGAGAGAGAGAGAGAGAGAGAGAGAGAGTAGGAGCAGCAGAGGGATGGGGAGGGGGATAATGACATGGGGTTGGAGGAGGGCGATGACGAAAGCGACGACGACGACGACGACGATAATGATGATGACAGCAAGAGCCCCTGGGGCAGGTAACGGGGTGGAGACGCCCGTCGTGTTTTCTGGTCGCGACGGCCGCGACGGTCCCCGAGGCCACTGGGCGTCGTCCCCAGAGGCCCCTGGAGGCCCCGAGAGGCCCACGAGGGGCAGACGCCGGCGACGGAGAGCTGCGACGGCTCACGAGAGCCACCAGCGCGGCACGCTACACAGCAACGGGAAAGACTTACGCGCGTATCTGGCCATCGCTCGGACGTCCATTCCCTGTGCTTTGTTCGATGTCATGCGTGTTTTTTTCGCCAAATGATCAAGGATGCACCTCGATGGTCCTCGCCGAAGGGAGAAAAGCACACGTCCGAGCAATGCCAAGGTATACGCGGGCATGAGGAGCAACGCCAAGGGGGAACTGGCTCAAGGGAGGAAAGGAAGCATCGAGCTGGGATCGGCGGTGCATCGCCGAGACAGGCTCCCGAGGGCGAGTGCGCACGTTCCTGGGCGGGCTGGCCAACGTTGCCCCTGAAGGCAGCTGACGCGCGAACGTCCGCGAAGGCGACCCCCCCTCTCTCGGCCACAGACTACGACCTTGCGAGACGTTGGGAGGGAAGGGCAAGCCGCAAGGGCGGGGACGGTGTCGGGAGCAGCAGGTGGGCGGGAAGGGGAGCGCGGGGAGGGGCAGGGCGGCGGGAGACTAGGAGGAGGAGGAGGAGGAGGAGGAGGAGGAGGAGGAGGAGGGAGAGGGGGAGGAGGAGGGAGGAGGAGGAGGGAGGAGGAGGGAAGGGCACGACGTGCTGCCGCCCTCGGGACCTGGAGGGAGACAGCCCCCGGGGGGCGGCGGCGCGGCCGCTGCAGTTCCCCCTTGGCCTCCCGCCCCTCCCCCTCTTTCTCTGTCCCCGCCTCGCCACTGGGCTCCTGCACGCCGGGTAAAAAAAAAGTTGCGTCGTCGTCGTCGTCGTCGGCGTCGTCCGTTTCCCCTTCCTTCTCCTCCTCCTCCTCCTCCTCCTCCTCCTCCTCCTCCTCCGCCTCCTCCTCCTCCTCCTCCTCCTCCTCCTCGTGCGAATCGCCCCGAGGAGAAAAAAAAAAAGTGACGGCCTTTCCGAGTTTGGGGAGGGGAGTCGCCACAGGTCACGGCTACCTGGAAGCTTGGGACGAGAGCCCTCGCCATGCGCGCCGGCCTGGGAGATGCCGCCTCCCGCACCTGGAAAACTCTGACAGCTAATCAATGGCGTCCCCGAAGGTGGCGGTGCGGTGGACCAATGAATCATGAGTCGGACGAGGGCGCGGGGACCAGAAATCGACCAGGAGGATTTTCTCAATAGTCACTGCACTCACATTCGCTCCGACAGCGACGACCGTGGCCATACAGCAATGGGCGGGTGAGAGTCGGGCTAGCGAGGCTTGAGCCCCGTCAGCATTCGAAGGGCAAGGGCCTCCGTATCAGTACTGTGGCAGCGCAGTACTGTGGCAGCGCTCTGCGCAGACACGACACTGCGGCCAGCAAACGTCTTGGACGCAGCCGGCGGTGGAATCCAGTTGCAGTGCCAGCCCCGACCCCATCAGGGGACACCCCCAGCGCCCTACTTGATGCTCAGGTCACTGGATCTTCGCGCGATGCTGTCATGCGAGATGCTACGGGCGCTCACCACGTCGCTATCCGTTAACGATGTGTTGAGTGACGCCATCATAACACTGTCCTCCGTGATGCGGCTCGCCACCACGGCGGCCACGACGTCGTTGCCAGCAGCCGCCAACGGGACAGCACCCTCAGACGGCGAAGACTGCCCTGTGTCCAGCGGAGGCTGTGGGCCTGAGCCGTTCCTAGGAGCGGCCGCTTGGCCAGGATGATCCAGGGGGAAAGTCTGCGCTGCGTCTAATGCTGGCTGTGGGCCTGAGCCGAGCCCCAGAGGGTATCGCCTACTGGGGCTTGGAGTCCTCGGAGCACCCCCTAAGTGGTGGCCGCCTTGAGATCCACCTCTCCAGGGGTAGCGGCGGTGCTCTGAGAACCCACCCTGGGCATTCCCCTTGAGGCTCCGCCGCTGCCGGTCGCCACGCCCTCGTCGCCCGACAGCTCCCTGAGCGTCTGGAGCGGCTTGCTCATGGACTTCCTACCGTCCGAGCTAGGGGTGGCCATCACGTTCTCGGGAGCGGCTGCTGGGGCAGGGTCTCCAGAGGGAGAGGATGGCTGCGCTGTGTCTGGCGGCGACTGTGGGCCTGAGCCGAACCCCACAGGAGAACGCCCAGGGGATGCGGGCCCTCTCGGAGTACCCCCTGCGGCTTGCTCTTCGACCACCTCGAGATCCACATCCCCAGGAAGCTGAAGCAAGCAACGGACGGTGCTCTGAGAGCCCGCTCTCCCCACGCACTCCCCTTGAGGCCCCGCCGCGGGCCGGCCGCCGCGCCCTCGTCGCCCGACGACTCCCCGAGCGTCCGGCGCGAGCTGCTCAGAGACTTCCTGCCGCCGCCCGACCTGCGGGCGCCCATCGCGTTCCCAGCGCCGGCCGCCACCGAGTCTGGCGGCATCCGCGGGCCTGGGAGCCGAGCCCGCGAGGGGAGAAAGCCCAGCTGGGGCGGGCTCTCGGAGCACCCCCTGGGGGTGGCCCTTCGATCGGGGATGGACAGACCTCCCTTTGGCAAAACGTGGCTTAGTGAAAGCGACCTGAGGCCCAAACCTGGCGGGCGCGAGCCTGAAAAATAACGGCCGCGGCGCCCCCTCGAGAACCGGAAACAGACAACTCACGAATCGACGTGTCACTGTTGGGGGTTCTGTCCACCCTCGATTCGAGGCCCCCCCCCGGGGAATGCGGGAGCACCAGTGCGGTGCTCCGAGAACCCCCCAAAACACCAGGCATTCCCCGCTTGTGGCTCCGCCGCGCGGGCCCGTCGCCGCGTGCTCCTCGCCGGACGCCTCCCGGTGCGCCTTGCTCGGCTTCCTCCAGGACCTCCAGGAGTTGCTGCCGGAGCTGACGGCGGCCATCGCGGGAAGCCGTCCAACGCTCCCGCGCGACGGAGACCAGGCCTTGCTCGACCGCCTCGGATGGGCCGCTGGGGAAACCAAAAGATACCCACAATGGAGAATGACGATTAATAAATGACCGGGGGCCGTGTTCACGCGGCGGCGCCCGGGATGACGATGAGAAAAAACCGGCCGCGGGCTGGAAAACTATCTTTTTATCGTTCTCCTCCAGTCCGAAAGCTATGCAGAAATAGCCGAAAAAAACTACTTATTCAATCGTTCTCTCCCATTTTTGTTTGCTAGTCGTCATCCCGCAGTACCGTCACTCCCCGGGCCTCTCCCGGGGCGCGTTCTGCCCAGGACTCCGAGGCGACTCCATGCGGTGGCGGCGCGGGCCTACCGGGAGGCCCAAGAGCGGGCGAAAGACGAGCGAAGGGCAGCGGCGTGGGGAATCCCAAACATCCGACGTCTCGACTTTCTCGAGACGCTGGCCCCCGACCTCCCGACCACTTTCAAGAGGACCAAGGACACACAAATAAATACACACAAATCAAAGAATTCCCCACATTTCCCCATATCTTCTGGGTTTCTGTCTTCCCCCCCACTGCCCACATTTTCCCATATGTTCGGGGGAATCGACGATTAATTGTGTCTGTGTGTTTTTTCTCCTCCTGAATCTCGTCTTTCTCGAGACGCTGGCCCCCGACCTCCCGACCACTTCCCTGGGACCGGTCTTTCCTCCCGAGTCGTCTCTTGACGCTCCCGAACGCCGGCGAGGGCTCCGGGAGGCCCAAAACTGTGAGAAGCCTCCATGTCTCGATTTGTTTTCGAGGCGCCCGCGATGTCTCGGATTACTTCGCCTCCTCCCCGCCTCCGCTCCCAGCGCGGGCCGTCCCGCGGCTCGGCCATCCCCGTGATGAGCTCCATCACCGGCGGCAGCTCGGCCATGCCTGAAGGGGCCCTGGGACACACAAATAAATACACACAACCCAAAAGATTCCCCATCTTTTCCCAGATGTTCTGGGTTCTTGTCTTCCCACTCAATTCCCATATTTTCCGATATTTTCCTGGGAGTCGACGATTAATTGTGTCTGTGTGCTTTTTCCCCTCCTGAATGCCCCGGCGCACGCGGCGCGGGCTCCGCCCGCCCGAGCTGCGCCTTCCCGGGCTGCGGCCGCCGGGGCTCGCGTCCGCGGGCGCGTCGGGCGCGAGGGCGCCGGCCTGGCCACGAGGGGCCTGTTGTCCACCACCAGCACCACCAGAAGAAGTTGGAGGGGGGTGGGAGGAGGAGGAGGAGGAGACGAGACGAGACGAGCCCATGGAATCCGCAGCTGTCAGACAGAGCATCGGCGTGGCACGGGATTCTGGGGACAGGTAGCTTCGACCCTCACGGAATTATGGAAAACGAAATCTGTGACTCACGATCCTCATGTGAGGCACTGGCCTGCCGACACCTCTGAGGCGCGCAACCTCTGCTGAGGGCCGACTTGGACGGCGCGGGAGACAGCGCGAGTAAGCATTTTAGCTCTTACTGCTGGCTCTCGTTCGTCGGTGCTCCTCCCCTTCCACGCCCCCGACTCACCGCCCTCCCCCTCCCTCGGCCAGAGCCTCTACGAGGCAGCACTACTGTTGGAATGCTTGGCAACTCACTCTGATCATATGAAGATGGCAAGCTTCTCTCTCCCGCTAAGGCCCGCTCTGCAACCTCATCAGGAATCAAACTTCGCTCGATCAAAGAAGCCAATCTCTCACTGTTACGCCACATCACTTGCCGCTCACGGCAGACGATATCTCTCTCTCCAGTGGCCCCCGCGGCGCGCTGCCGTGAAGCCGCTCCCCCCCCTCGGTTTCCAGAATCCTCAAGAAAAGGTCCTGCGCCTGCTTGCCGATCGGGCTGTCCACGTCGAAGTGCATGATCACCAGGCAACGTTGGTCGCTCTCGTCCTTCTTGAGCATCTTGAGGCGCACGTACTTCACCGCTGCCCCGAGCTTCAGAATCTCGCAGTGCACCACGGTGTTGGTCCAGAACTCCTCCGCGTCCGCCTTCAGCTGCTTCTCCTCCTCGGCCTTGTCGCCCTCGGCGTGGGTCCTCGTCGCGATGTAGTGGATGCCTGCCACGAAGATGTGCAAGTGTGGCGGCCCTCGTCCTCGATGTGCTCCGCGCCCGACGTTCTCGCCCGACTTCGCGCGGTCCGCCAGCTCCTTGCTCTTGACGTCGTACTGCTTGCCCGCTGCCACGAGCGCTGCTGGGAATCCCTGCACCGCGCTCATCTCGCAGGTGATGAACACTGCCGCCGCGAGGTCCGCCATGCCGCGAGTGGTCGCCAGAAGAAGCCGCGCCACCAGCAAGAGCAACTTGCCGTACTGCTTCTCTCCTTTGCCCTCGCTGCTCTTCGCCTGCTTGCTGCGCTGCTCCTCGGCGCCCTCGGGGCGCCTCGCCTGCGCTGGGTTGTACCGCGATGGCATCGCCAGCTCGGGCATGGCTCCCAGCACCGGTGGTGACCGAACCCTCAGGAGGCGGAGGCCTCGGTCGATAAGGTTGTAGCTTCCACGGAAGATGTGAGCTTAAATGGCAGCAGTATGAATCCAAATCAGCACCTCTGTAATCACACACTGGACAATCGAAAGATTGGGGATGAACAAGCTCCGTCAACGATGTGGGACACCTCGTCGAGCAGTTGCCTCTGAGAACGGACCCAAGAAGATGGCGAGCTGCGGTCACCCTTGTTGAGAATATTTGCCTACAATGTATACATATACTGCATGGTGTTAGGACGGCTGGAAGGTTTCGTACATGATGATGTGCACGCATGTGGTTTAACAACGCTTTGCGATCATGACACACTGCATTGCATATGTTGCCCTTGTCGTCCACGATCTTGCATACGCAGTTGCCCTCCTCCCCCGTCCTCTTGTCCTCCACCTCGTCCCCCTCCTGAGTAGATACCATACGAAACCCTGGAGGAGGAATGTTGACCCCGAACTCCCTGGCCCTGAGCTCAGTGAAGTCGACTTGGTAGCATCCAAAACCCGGAGAGCATAGGGCAAACACACCAGAAAGCTTTCCGGGCAGGCCGTGCAACGCTCTCGCACAGCTCTTCTGGCCCTCTGGAAAGCCCCCGTGCAGCGCTGCGGAAGCACTGCCAGAAACGCTTCCATGCGTGCCTGCACGCGTGCAGGCTCGCGTGGAAGCTTGCCGGAAGCTCTCCCGGACGCCCTGCCGGGCCGAACGAACCGCTGCGGAGATTCTGGACCGGCGAAGATGGGCTGCTGGCGGGCACCACCAACGACCGGCTTCTTAGATTAAACCCTCTAGCTCTCAGCGAGCTCTCCGGGAATTTTTACAAAGTCCTC